ATTTGCCCATGGGTGTACGCTGCTGACGTGAGCATATGCAAAGACTAGTTTTCCGCGCGCGCTTGTTTTTTTCTGGTCACGTAAGATTTTTTAAATAAAAGGGAACTCTTTAGCTACAATGTATCAATGTTATGTTATAAAACAAATGGTAAACACCACAGCGTACACTATTGAGTTATGGATGCACTTGGCAGGTTTGCTAAGCACTAAAGAAGCTAGAGTCGCTCTCGGCTATCGCCTCGAGCGACTCTTACTCTTCTTTCGTGCTTAGCAACCTCCCGCGTACATCCATAACTCAATAGTGTACGCTGTGGTGTTTACCATTTGTTAATTTTCTGAATTCCATAAAACTACGTATGCAAATTTACGAAGGAACGACCTTTAAAATGACGTAAAAATTAGCTTAGGCAAACGTTATCTCGCAACGTTGGAAGACAGAATCACGGAATATGTTGATTGCGTGACCAAAAAGCTTAGGAGCCTTCTGCCTTCGAAATAACTTCGGATCGAATTGGAAAACTTATTCAGAGTTAAATAACATAAATGTACCTACTTTGTTACATGGTATTGTCTTTTACCCTTCAAAACTTATTTTTGCACAGATATATTGCCATCGTTGAGGGTCCCCAATAGGTTTTTCGGGATCCGGGATTTGGCTTATTCGAAGGCCGGGATTCGAGATTTTGAAGGAAAAGGGGGACGAGATTCGGGATTGTAGTTATGACCAGGACACGGGATTTGACGATTTTAACAGGCGGGAATCGGGAAAGGTCGCTTTAAAGAAACCGAGATTTGGGTATTCCAGAGTCTGAAATATGCAAAGAAAGTTAAACTGTCATCTTACCAAGCTCATCTTATTAACGTCGGAAATGGTCGGAAATAGCCGAAGAATGACCTAGTTGACATCCACGTTTTCCACGACACTATCACGCTGTTCTGTGTACTGTGACCCTATGGTGATCTGTGGTCTATTTTCGTGAACCTTGGACACCTTAGCCAGACAGTCTAAACCGCCTATACCGGGGATTGTGTGACACGTCCGGCTGCAACGCAGGCTAGGACACACCTTGGCCGTAATGAGAATCCAATTTGACACTGTCTTTGTGACCTTTGTTATTTGTTGACCGTGATATTTCTAGTGTTAAGTTTATACAGATCCTGATCGGTGCGCGTGGGATATTCGACACCAGCCGGGAGGTCCGTATTGGGGAAAACTGTGCCCGATGTCTTGGATACCGCCCGAGGCCGTAGGCCGTGGGCGGTACTCAAGACCGAGGGCACAGTTTTTCCCAATACGGACCGACCTATGCTGCTGAATAACATTTTTATTTTTTTCTAACACATAAAAAAAATGATTGCCAAAAGAACCCGAATGATTTAGGGCTACAATTACGAGTTTAATTACGGGAAAATCCTCCTTGAACTTAACAATTTGATAGCGAGTGAGTTATAAAGAAAACAAACGTTATTCAAATTAAATAGAAAGCTTTAGCCGATACATTTTTATTTGTAAAGGTAATTAAAAGGAGAGTCTGGATGGGGGTAACTGGCAACTGACAAATGGCCAAAATTTTAACTGGCAACTGACAAATCGCTGAAAATCTAACTGACAACTGACATTTGTGGTGGGCTTTTAATGATAGCTTACAAAAGACCGGATCGCCCTAAATATCCTAAAAACTGGATATAAAATAACGACAGATGATATATTTTGTCCAATAAAAGTAGGTTTTTTATTACATATCAGTAGGAGTACGCCAGAGTGTCATATTTCGTTAATAATCACCGCATGGACCATCCACATCATGGTCATGATGTCACTTATCGGGTCTATGATCTTTGATACCCAATTCGATCGTCAACTTTCGCGATGGCCATCAATGCTGGTATATTAAAAGTTATTGTAAGCTTTTATCGAATTGATTCGGAAACGCCATTTGAGCGTCACAGGAGCCGCATTCCTATCAATGATGTAAACACCGCACTGGCGCTGAAAAAGCACCTTATTTCGTTCCCTGGTCTAACAGAACTGTCCAGGAAATACGGCCTAGGAGATTTTTATGTTGAACTTTACCACATGGCTCGAATTTTCTCGAGCTTAGAAGTTGAACTACTTCTAAAGAACAACTCGGGGTCCTAAGCTTGTAAAGAAATCAAAAGACTGGATTTGAAGACAGGCTAGGATAACGTTCATTAACTCAGGAGACTCTGTCCTTCTGAGAAAAGCGTTAAAACCTTGATGGGCTCTAGTCAGAAAGTAGCAAGCGAACGGAACAAGTCGCACGATAGTTACAAATTTTACCTTAAATGTTCTCTAAACGTTGGGGGGAACTGAGCATGAACTAAGGAAGAATTTCCTTATAGTCTTCTAGTGCGATTAGGCCCATTGCTGAAGCCATTTTAGGTCATTTCTTTTAACTGTTAACATTACTCAGAGTTTCGTAGTTCCATTCTCATTAACTCTGAATAAATATTTTTGAAAGCTTAAATATTTTTGTGGCTACTAAAAGTTATTATACGAGATTTAGATTGGCATTAGCGCATGGGGTATGTCTCTGTAGTTACTATATGCTAATGAGGCAAAATACTGACCCATCGGGGTATGAACTCTGGTAAGCGACCACCTCCTGTAAGCAACGGGAAAAAAACAACGAAAAACGGGAAAAAAGAAAACAGCAGAAAACGCAACTTTTTTGGCAGAAAAAGCGAAAATCCGATCCAAAACACAGCCAAAACCGCAAAACAGAAAATCCCAAAGCCCCCCTCCTTACGGGAGGTTTGACTGTATTTCCCAGAAATGTGTTTATTTTGTAGCTGTCTGGCTGACAGACGAGCCTACCGAGTGGTAATTCTTGGATGAACCAGCCTCTTGACAGTGAACAAACGTTAATACATAACCATGACCATACCTTGCTTAGTTGGATGGCTTTTTTCAGGGAATCTTCTTCGCTTTCCTGATGGTGAGCTATCATCCAGGTTTGGTTGTCATCTGGAGTATTCTCAGCTCCCGATACAACTTCTGCATAAGTTCTTTTGGCTGACATAAGGACTAAATAACACTAAAACAGGAAAACTTAAACCCGAGGCACACAAAGTATTACCGTGAAGTAATGCAATACTTCTAGATGAACAATGAAACGTACGTGTGATATCGTACAAAGCAATATTAGGGACCTTTAGCACTGACGACGAGAACGTGGTCGACGACGTATATGACCGATTTAGGCCTGGGACGGGACCGTCGTCCACGGTTACGCGGACGAGTCCTTTACTGCTAATTTGAAAATGCAAAAATTATCCACTAAAACAATTACCTTTTTTTCAGTGTTGTAATCAACGTCAAGTGATTCAGAGCTAAGCTAAGTTTACATACACAGTCGATCCGAGCGGTTCGGATGTTTTTCAAAGCCCAGAAATCTTCTTAAAAATGCCAGCTGGTATAAATTACAAAACTATAACGAAATATCCGCGATTAATATTTAGAAAAGCATTTATAAGGCTACGTACATGCCCTGCAGCACTTTTATCATTATCCGCCATTGCTTTCTCCGCTGTAAACTGCAAAGCTCAATCTGCAACTCGAAAGAAATAAAGTCTTTTCTATCACTGTTCGATCAAATTACTTTCGGCACTGTTTTTATTCTTTAACCGACCCTTTAGATGGAAGAAATCCCTTAGATAGGTAAGTAGAAGTTAGAAAACAAATAAAATATACTCACGTTCTCGTCAAAACGGCGAATGGCGGCAAACTGCGTCCTGAACGAGATGTGGACAACGACTCGTGCTCGATTGGGTTTGCGTGGTAGCATCGAAGTTCGTTTTCTCAACTTCCGGTCGGTCACGTTCACGTTCTCGTCGTCACTGCTAAAGGTCCCTAGTCTCGAGTTTGACTAATGGTCGTGGGTCGTGGGTTGTGGGTGTTATGGTATGTGAAACCTTCAGGAAATCAACATTTGCTTTTCTTCGACAAGACCGTTCTTGAATGTCGATCAGCTGACCTTTCTTATGTAACACTTAAAGGTTATGTAACCCTCGGATGTTATGTAACTTTCTGGACTGGTTATGTAATCGCTTTGTACATTCCAATCGAGTTCTCGAGTTACACGAGTGAACATTGAGATAAGTTAGCCATCATGTTGTTGTTATATCGATAGCTCTAAAGGTAACCTGCCTCTCAAGTAATTAAAGTTTGTGTTCAAAGAAGCTTACTGGACTCAGACTCCCTATCTTGCTCTCTCGCGTCATAAAGGACAAAACTATGGGTACAAGTCGTGGGTCGTGGGTGTGGGTGTAGGTGAAAGTCGTGGGTGTGATTAATACTTAACAATGACAATAATCATTTAAAATATTAGTTGTAATAATAAATAAATATTATACAACCCTTGTCCAGTCATTGTATCAGCTCGGTTTAGTGAGCCTAATATTTCATTGATTTCATCCAACAGAATTAATTCATTTCACCTAAAAAGAAAAGTGAAACCAACGACAAAGCCCTTATTTGCAGGATCATGTAATCTCTTAAAATGAGGGTCAGTCCATTATTTTGTAATTGTTACGGTGGCCAATTTACCACTTCAACTTTGTTGATATATCCAAGTTATTTCGTAACTCCCACCGATGCAGCCCCAAACAGTTTCTTTCGAAACAATCAGCATTTAGTAATTCCAAAGAGTTTGAGGAGTTTTGTTCAGGTCAAACGCTTGATCAACACACAAAAAATATAATCTTACACTGAAAAGAGAGAAGTGTTAAACTTAAAAGAACAACGTTTTCAGAACATTCAAGAACCTTCGAGGATCAGAAACACGGCTATTGGCCGTGTTCTTGAATTAAAATTAATTTGTGCTCTCAGTGCCGGTTAAAAATAATTGAAGTTTCTGAAGTAAAAGTATATCCCTCTGCTGGTTAGGGAAAATAAAGCTTGTGTCGATCAATGACATTCAGACAAAGAGCCGAATGCTTCATCAATGCACGACTCCCTCTATAAAATTAGCATACTGAAGTGCCCAATGCATTGTGGTTAGAGTGGTATCAAAACCCAAAAAATGGATGACAACATTCCACTAAGTTCGTCGTTGAATACTTTTACCGATGTCTTTTCTGAACCTAGCTCTCTTAAGAGCTCTAGAACGGTTCAGAAAGAGCCAAATAAGCCACCTTCAGAACCTATGGACAATGTTGAAGATAAAACATCGCCATCAGGTGGTTTTAAGGGACAAAACCTGAAGACACGAGGCGGGTACACGTGCTGTGTTCCAGGATGCTACAACAACAACAAGAAAAATAAAGATCTACACTTCTATAGATTTCCCTAAGGTCAAAGTAAGGAAAAACAGCAATTAAGAAAAAAGGTAAGTCGAAAAAACTTTCAACCGGGCCCTGATCATCGTGTTTGTTCCGCCCATTTTCCAGGTGGCGCCAAAACATACGACAATAATATTCCAACTATTGTACCAAAAAATGTCCATTTAACGGTCTAGAAGCCCCGTCCGACTCAACGTGCAAGGAATCGTGAATTTTTTCACCCAAACACGGATTTTTCTCAAGTTGGCTGTAAAAGCATTGGTCTCGAATCGAATGAACTTCTTCACTTCAATGAAAGCAGCAATGTTGAATATACCGTAGAAGTAGCTGAACATGAAGATTGCCAGGAGAAAATAGAAGAATTAAGTCTACGAATAGTGGAATTAGAAAACAAAATAGTCTCTCTGAAGGAACATTATGAGAGTCAAATTAAGGATCTAGAAAATCAAGTCTTCAAGAAATCATTTACAATTGAAAAATTTAAAGATGATGCTCATCTGTTTAAATTTTATACTGGACTTGAAGACTACACTGTCTTTAGGTGTATTTTTGAATATTTTGGTCCTGTCGTAGAAAATATGATTTATTAGGACTCTAACACCAACTCAGAGAGACTAACAAGCCCTGATCAGATAAAACGGGAAAGGAAAAGGACTCTTGCTGCAGAACAGGAATTTTTTATGGTTCTGGCAAGGTTAAGATGTGGTTTACTGGAGGAAGATTTAGCTTGTAGAGTTGGAATTTCTTCATCCCATGTTTCTAGAATCTGCATAACTTGGCATGATTTTTTATACACAAGATTTAGAAGTCATCCTATATGGCCCACAAGGACAGTTGTGAATGAGACAATGCCTCAGGGCTTTAAGAATTCCTACCCTCAAACAAGAGTTATAATAGATTGCACCGAACTTTTTATAGAAATGCCAAGCTCTCTAAGATCACAGAGCAAGACATACTCCAATTACAAACACCATAACACTGCTAAGGGATTAGTGGGCATTGCACCATCTGGAATGATTACATTTGTTTCTGACCTATATTCAGGAAGAACAAGTGATAAGGAGGCTACTAAACATTGTGGAATACTTTCTTTACTTGAAGAGGGTGACAGCATTATGGTGGATAAGGGATTTGACATCGAGGATGGGCTGCCAAAGAATGTTTCTCTTAATATCCCACCATTTCTTAGGGAGAATGACCACTTGTCATTGGAGGAGGAAACAGAGACTAGACAGATTGCAGCATTACGCATACATGTAGAGCGGGCCATTCGCAGAATCAAATTCTTTAGAATTTTGAAAATAGAATTCCCATTATCCATAGCTGCTGACCTAAACAAAATATGGGTAGTTTGTGCATACTTGTGTAATTTTTTGCCACCAATCATTGCAGAAAGTGGGTAGAAAAAAAAGAGGGAGAGAGGTAAAATCCCATAAAATGTGTGTAACACTAGTACATCTTAGTACACCCTAATTCCTAATTACTAATTGTTTTGCTGGTTTTAAGACTTCGCTCTAACTACATGTAAAGTGTATTCGTAGAAAACAGGAAACCTTTAGGTTTAGAATAATCAACATTTTCTATCCTTGAACTCAAAGGTTTGTTATTTTACTGTTGTTGCATTAACTTAAGTGTTCATTCACAAAGGAAATGTTGCAATCCTTGACCTAATCCACAAGGTACTGAGCATAAAACATTGTCAGCTTAGGAAGCATCTTTGATTTCCATAACTCCATATCTCTGGGTATGAGCTGCACAAAAAAATGTTTCTTTGTATATACAACAAAGTCAATCCAGTTCAAACCTGTGATATTGAGAACACCTTGACACAGATAATAGTAGACGTGTGACTTCTTCAGTGTAATTGCTCCATCTGAACTTTTTTTCAGATAAAAGGATGAATCTTTGCAACACTCTTCAATTGTCATTTCATTTTTAGCAAATGGGCATTTAATCTCAATGGCTCCTATTGCATTTGCTTCCCTATAGACAATGCCATCTGGGCTGCATGCAAGCCAGGGCCAGGAAGGGTTGATAATCAACCCACAGTCAGCAACCTCTTCCCCGCTCTTTGACTTGTACATTTCATGAGCAACTTGTTCATTATCAATTCCCCACTTCAATGAAGGGGACATCCGAGATGTTGATGTACTTGTTTTGTTTATGCTTGCTACAATTGATACAGGAGCAATACTCTCCCTTCGATTAATCACCCTTCCAAATAATGAGAATGTCAATCTTTTTTGTCTCTCCTTAAACCAATCTTTGCTTTTTCGTTGAAGTCTAGTTGAGACCTCGATGGCCACTGCCTCCTCTTTGCTAACACCAACTTTGTTATCAATACGTCGTTGAGTGTCAGGTGAAATATCCAGCTCAACATCCAAATGTGGCATATTTTCAAATAATAAATCTCTTTTAAAACTATCACCAGACTTTTCTTGGTTCTTCTTTTGAACTGTACAGCTTGTTTCAAAAGTCTAGTTTGGTTCAAAGTAATTACCGATCAAAGTTGCGCATAATAATTGAGCTTTACCATTTTTTTTGTAAAGATGTATATAAAGCTTTTATTTCTTCACTTTGGACCTACGTATCGCGTACCATCAACCCCGCATCCAAGAAAAAATATTAAGTGAAACAACGAACTGTTCCAAGATAAGCCGATATATGGATAACAACGTTGCAACGTTAGTTGCAGGTCTGGAGATGTTGGCTCCAAGGTTTTTCCAAGGCACGAACATATAAAACCTCTGGTATCCAGTGTGTGGTACAATCGACAACCGGAAATCGCAAGCCAATGTTAAATTGGTCACGACAACTAGCATCGGTGATAAGAAATTAAACGAAGAACCACTTAGTACAATCTTAAAATTTTTCTTCGTCCATCTAACTGGCCAGGTCCTTTTCTAAATCATAAAATAAACTAGATATGAAGAATTATTGAAATAGGTAAATTACTAGATAAAGAGGTTCTAATAATTTCAATTTTTAAACGATTCATTTCTTATCTGGCAAAGACCAGACTCTGCATAGTTGCGAAATGTGACTTACTCAAGAAGAGTTTGACTAATGGTCGCGGGTCGTGGGTCGTGGGTCGTGGGTACAAGTCGTGGGTCGTGGGTGTGGGTGTGGGTGTGGGTGTGGGTAAAAGTCAAGGGTGTGGTTAATACTTAATAATAAAAATAACTATTTAAAATATTAAATATAATAATACATAAATTTTATACAACCCCGTCACTCATTAATTTAACTGTTCTTTCTTCTAATTTGGATCTATCAACAAAGTTGAAATGGTAAAATGGCCACCGTAACGATTACAAAAGCTGACGTTTCGAGCGTTAGCCCTTCGTCGGAGCTAGCTCGAAACGTCAGCTTTTGTAATCATTACGGTGGCCAATTTACCATTTCAACTTTGTTGATATATCCAAANCATAATGCAAATACGATAGTTTTTTGGCATAGGGTAAAATATGGACTGGACCATTTTTTGGACTATTTTTTGGACCATATTTTGGACCATTATGTGGACCATTTATAAGGAGTTTCAGTTTCGCGACGCATTCCGAGATCTCGTTTGATAACGAAGGGAAGAGAGATAAATCTTGTAATGACACACTGTGTACACGTTTTTCGAGCTGTGCAGTCTGCGGTCTGCGGTCTGCGGTCTGCGGTCTGCGGTCTGCGGTCTGCGGTCTGCGTTTTCGAGGTCTGTGTTAACGAGACACCTGAGAGAATAGGGACCTTTAGCAGTGACGACGAGAACGTGAACGTGACCGACCGGAAGTTGGGAAAACGAACTTCGATGCCACCACGCATGCCCAATCGAGCACGAGTCGTCGTCCACATCTCGTTCAGGACGCCATTTGCCGCCATTCGCCGTCTTGACGAGAACGTGAGTATGTTTTATTTGTTTTCTAATTTCTACTTACCTATCTAAGGGATTTCTTCAATCTAAAGGGCCGGTTAGGGAATAAAAACAGTGCCGAAAGTAACTTGATCGAACCGTGAGGGAAAAAACTTTATTTCTTTCGAGTTGCAGATTGAGCTTTACAGTTTACAGCGGAGAAAGCAATGGCGGATAATGATAAAAGTGCTGCAGGGTATGTACGTAGCCTTATAAATGCTTTTCTAAATATAAATCGCGGATATTTCGTTATAGTTTTGCAATTTATACCAGCTGGCATTTTTAAGATTTCTGGGTTTTGAAAAACATCCGAACCGCTCGGATCGACTGTGTATGTAAACTTAGCTTAGCTCTGAATCACTTGACGTTGATTACAACACTGAAAAAAAGTTAAATTGTTTTAGTGGATAATTTTTGCATTTTCAAATTAGCAGTAAAGGACTCGTCCACGTAACCGATGCGCTAAAATATTCATGTTTCCCGCCGAGGACGACGGTCCCGTCCCAGGCCTAAATCGGTCATATACGTCGTCGTCCACGTTCTCGTCGTCTGAGCTAATGGTCCCTATTGTCGGAGCCAGGTTACGAGCTCGCAGAAAGGTTACAAGCGCGAGTTATACGTCTGCGGACTTTCAGTTAGGCACCAGTCTCCCACAAGAGACGGACCCGCAGATGCAAATCGTCAACCTTAATTGTTGATCTTTAATCGCTGTTTCTTATCGGTCAGTTACTTTCTTTTGTGCTTGCTGAAGTTGTTGTGTTTATTATAAACATCAAGTACTTTTGGACCCAACGAGAGAGCCGAGAGAAATAACTCAGTGACTAATACGATCCAAATGCAACCAGAGATTGCGCCATCTACTATTTTCACAGAATTAACCCCTTAAAACTTGCAGCCGCCTCTGAGCTTATATAAACATTGAATCGCAGCTTTTGTTTTCTTTGTTTAGTCTGTAGTTCCTCGCGGTGACAAGTCAAAACAGAAAAAAAATCGGATTTGACACAAAACAAAAAGTGAAGCATGTTCAGCAAAAGACAGGCTAGTTACAACTTTATGGCGGCTTAAGCTAAATAGCCAATGTTTTGGCATTTCTCTTTTCTATCTTTTGCAGTTGCGGGATAAAGAAAAAATAATACAACCAAGAGAGACTTTACCTTTTCTGCCTGTTCTATGCTCTCACTAGTTCCAACTTTCAGAAAAAAAAAAGCAATATAACTTTCAAGTTCAGCTTAAATTTCCTCAAAACAAAGTGGCAAGGCGCACCTTCACTTTATATTTAATTGATGATCTAATGTACTATATTTGCTTAAATTATTTTGGGGGAAGTCCCAGATTGGATTTAGTTTCGCTTTGATTTTATAAAGCTCAGGACGAGCAAAGGCGACGTGGTAAGTGGTTCTTTTTTAAACGCTTCTTGGTTCTAAATCTTTAAATATTCTGCTATCAAGGTTTTTATTTGAACACGTTCTAAATGGTAAAGTGCAGCGATAGAAAGTAATCAGACTACGAATGCCTTAATCGAGCCGCAGTTCAACCAAACTGCAACCCAGACAACCAAAGCGGAAGGAATGATATCTTCGATTGGTACTGTTCTATTTCGCTATCACCACAGTCTCATGAATTGAAGTAATTTAGGTGAAAATCAATACGAGACAGTAGTTTTGTTTCATTTTCTTGACGTGACTCAGCGGCACTAGGAAATTAAGAACGGAAATGGAGCAGAGTGAAGTTTCGTGACATGAGCATGCACAGAGGGAAAGTAAACAGCTCAGTTTCTCAAGGCCAACAGACAGTATAACTAATGAAGCTCCAACGAGGAATTCAGTCGTGTTGAAAACCTCAAAGTACCGTGATATTTTCTCAGAACGAAACTCTCGGTCTATTTGAATGGTAGAAGAGTGTTTTGAAGTTAAGATTGGAGTGACGTCGAGCTAATATCGTCGTGGAAAGGGATAGACAAAATGTAAAATTGTCAAATTACTAGCCAAATTGTGAATTTAGTACTATCTTTTTGTTTCTTCACCTCTTGATTGCTTTGTTATTTTTGTCGAGACATAGTACTTCCCGAACATATTGACCAAGCTGATTTGAGTTTATTATTACTGCACAGCAATTAGCTTTGGGTAAGTGCCAAGTGATATTTTAGTGACGTATTTATATTGACAAAAAAGTTTGGCTCTGGCGTATCTCATTCGAGGAGTTTTGTCTCCATAATGGTCTAGTAGATATGCAGTGTTTGGGATTAACATGCAATGTTTCAGTCAGGATTGTCCAAAGTTTTCAGTCTCTAAAGATGAATTTATCCGTCCTTACCGACACCGCGGAAATACGTTTTTTTGGGCACGGTACAGTATTTTACTGGTCAGCGGACATCTCAACGAAACCATGAAACGCCGATAACTTTTACAATGTTTTTCGCCGTGAGTCAAATCGACAGCGTAAAAAGTCAAAACTTAGAAAGAATACTGTAAACGTAGCTTTTAAACTCGACTCACCTTTTGGATAGTTCTTAAGCTCAATAATATAATTTGCCAAAGCCGAACTGACGTTGCACACGATATGAAATTGTTGTTTTTCGCTGGCGGCTCCGTGGCAACTAAGTTTTGTTTATAAAAGAGCTTATGCACCAAGGCTAAAAATGAGACGATTTTTGAATGGTTGAAGCGGTGATCCGAGGACGCTGCACTATCAGGTTTGTAAAGCAGTGGCTTGAACCGTATAAATCGGCATGTCAACGGCATTTCGGTCAGATTCGCCGAAAAGAAGACAAAACATGCCCGTGTAGCACGGCCACCCTATCCCCACTAGTTACTGTATGTATCATAGTTGGCCAAAAAACCTACGACTGTAACATGCATAGGACTGAAGCCCCCAAAAGTACAAAGACTGGCTCAACTAGAGGAAGAATAAACCGAGGTATGCTTTAAGTACAAAATGTCCATTATAATGATAATAAAGAAGTTTTCACTTTCCACCTTAGTTTGTAATTTTTTTTTTTCTGANAGTTTTTGATCTCGGACTTAGTGATCACTCGCTTGTTTACTGTGTCCTTAAATCTGGTCGTCCCCGAGTTGCTCCCAAAACTATCGAATATCGTTCATACAAGAACTACAACAAAGACTCTTTCAGATACAATGAATATATGAAGTTCATATACTTTGAACTGCGGTATTAGATACGTATGATGCACGATCCTTGCAGTAGAGAGCGCTATTTATGCAACAGCGAAAATCAAGCCTGTACGGGATTCGAACCACTGACCGACACCGCGGAAATATGTTTTTTAGGGCACGATACAGTATTTTACTGCTCAGCGGACACCTCAACGAAACCACGAAATGCCGATAACTTTTACAATGTTTTTCGCCGTGAGTCAAATCGACAGCGTAAAAAGTCAAAACTTAGAAAGAATACTGTAAACTTAGCTTTGAAACTCGGCTCACCTTTTGGATAGTTCTAAATCTCAGTTATATCATTTGTCAAAGCCGAACTGTAGTTGCACACGATATGAAATTGTTGTTTTTCGCTGGCGGCTCCGTGGCAACTAAGTTTTGATTATAAAAGAGCTTATGTACCAAGGCTAAAAATGAGACGATTTTTGAATGGTTGAGGCGGTGATCCGAGGACGCTGCACTATCAGGTTTGTAAAGCAGTGGCTTGAACCGTATAAAAGAGCTTATGTACCAAGGCTAAAAATGAGACGATTTTTGAATGGTTGAAGCGGTGATCCGAGGACGCTGCACTATCAGGTTTGTAAAGCAGTGGCTTGAACCGTATAAATCGGCATGTCAACGGCATTTCGGTCAGATTCGCCGAAAAGAAGACAAAACATGCCCGTGTAGCACGGCCACCCTATCCCCACTAGTTACTGTGTGTATCATAGTTGGCCAAAAAACCTACGACTGTAACGTGCATAGGACTGAAGCCCCCAAAAGTACGGAGACTGGCTCAAATAGAGGAAGAATAAACCGAGGTATGCTTTAAGTACAAAATGTCCATTATAATGATAATAAATAAGTTTTCACTTTCCACCTTAGTTTGTAATTTTTTTTTTTCTGAGCTGTAATTTTATTTCTGAGCAATAGTTTTACTTTGAATTCCCAACAAGTATTACTCATTACAATTATGAATAATTTGTAGTATGTCTTTTTTTTTTAAGCTGCTTTTCCCTCACTACTCATTTTATTTAGTTTTGCTTTTTCTTTTCTTTCTTTACTAACTTAATGCCATCTGCAACATAAAATGTACTGAGCTAACAGAATACTTCTGCTTTATTTAGCTCCCTGATTCACAAAGTAACATTACCATCATGGTACTACTAGAAAACAAATTTTTAAGAAACAAAACTACTGTAAGGTAAACTAATTATTATAATATAATTTAATCGATGTGAATAATGCACTGCATTGTCTTTTGTCATATTGCAACAGCCTTGAATGAATCACCTATCTACTAAACTTGATTTCTTATATTCAGAAGCTGCCGGAGTTATAAACTAAGAATTCTTTTGGGTGTTTATGGAGGTGTAAAGAACAATGATTATGATGATTAATCTTCCAAATTACGAATGTCTGAGGGAAATTATCAGAAGTATTTTCTGAAGTCNTTAAAGGCACAGAAAATCAGAAAGGTGGAATGGCGAAAAATCAGTCTAGAAAAGTAAAATTCTCAACCAAGCGAATGATTTCCAAAATGAAAAGGCACCGCACGTCGGCGCAAAGTGAGTGTGAATATTTTCACAACTCAATAATTACGTGTATCGCTTCATGCTAATAACACTTAAAAATCCAACCAGTCTTCAGACTCGCTGGAAAATTATCTTACAGAACTAATCTCTTGCTTTGTTTGGATAACTATCACTGTTTTTGACAATTCTGAAGGCGATGGCGACTGACGAACCACGATCACACTTCGTAACGACGGCCAGCTAAAGTCAGCAAACAGCACAAAACTCTAAACAAAATGACTCCCCTGTACCGATATTTGTTAAGACGTGGTTTTAGTATTAAAAACCCATTCAAAGGATCAACCATAATAAACAAGGAGAAGTATCATGGATATTTTCCGACTTAAAACCATGTAAAAGGCCGATGTTTTCATCGAACTCAGTCCACAAACACATGGAAGCACTTGGCAGCCTAATGTTGATGACCACTGACCACTGTGACGTCACCTAAACGTATTTCTGCGGTGTCGTCTTTACCTAGATTCCTAAGCACCATGGATCAGGAGGCAAATGAAATAACTTTAATGATGTCAAACCGTCAACGAAAGTGCGCTTGTTGCAAGTCCACCCTCAGCCGGATGATTTCCATCATTATGTATTTATTGCTGTTACTGGCTGAAGTAGTGGTTATTTTCGCTTTCATTTGTCATTTTGGAAAAGCAATATCGCCCGTTTTCACCTTGGAGAGGTTAACAGACACGAATTTCTCATCAAGCACCAAAAGAACCTCTCACATATTTCAAATACAGCTTGTGCGTTACTTAGGTATGATAGAAACTTACTCCAGATTGATAATGACCCTAAATTGCTTGGACACAGCGAGCTGTTGGATCTTTCTTTGGGCAGTTTTCAAATCTCCGCATTTCATCGGCTTGTGCCCTATGATAAAAGATCTTATTCGTTTGCCGAGATTTTGGACCTTAATATTTGTATTAGTGCTCGTTGTCATGGGGAATGTTATTGACAGCGCAAATTCCTCACTCGCCACACCCGTTTACAAATTTATAACTATGATGGTGGTTTGCTTTACGTTCTCCCTGGATGCGTTCTTTGTAACAATGATTCTTGAGTTCTGAACGAAGTAAAAGTCCGCCAAATGGCACCGGGGCAACTGCACTTAATATTTAAGGGGGCCCTGATTGTCTTCTGCTTTCGATTGTTTGTATGTCCGATTACTAGAATACTATACTTAACTATAATCTTATATTTGATTGCTGGAGTGAAGGATAGCTATATGCGGAAGGGAGGCACGTTTATAGACTGTGTAAGTACTTTTCTTTTCCTGCCGTTTTACAAAAAAGGAACTGAATTTGTGTGGAAAAAAATATTTCGTGATGACAAGAACACTATAGGGGAAATTAGAGGCCCTGAGAGACAAGACAGTGGTTTTGATAACGGCATCTAGGCTGTTTGAAAATCTGCATCAATGACTTTCTCTTCAGCAGTTCGAAGAAGTAATAGGTTCTGTAGTTTTACCTTTTGGTAATAATACTACCATAACATTTGATTACTAAGCAAACCACCATGAAAGTAGCATGCTACTACATATCATTGCCGCTACTGTAGGTTGGAGTTCGTATCGTAAAATGCCAACTACTTGTCCAATAGATAAACGGTGCATCACTAACTTTCTATAAACAAATTGCGATAAATCTAATCCGGCCAAACTTCGTACCAAACTGTATTACATCATAAGCCGAGAGCAACCGATGACGGCCTTTTTCCAGATGTAGCTAGCCATCAGAATCATCTGATTTTTTATTCTGGTAATCAAAGGCAACAGACCTGCAGTCTTGTCGCTCAAGCAGTGACAACGAAACCCCTCTTTACAGTGCGCTGCAGCTCAGAGAAAGTTAGACAGACTGAGGCCACTGAGGATAGAGTTCATAATCAGAAACTTTCCCAAAATGAACACGAACGATCGTAATAGTGGAAACAATAGCTTTAGTAATACTGGTAGTAGTAGTAGAAGCATTAGTACTAAAAGTAAGTCCTTTTGTTCCACTTGCATGTATCAATCGGTATTAGCATAGTGTGATATAATTACTTTTAAAAATAGTAGAAAACCAAGCGGAAGGAGAGATATTTCTTGTTATGAGCGCTCAATCTCCCAATCTTTTTAAAATCTGTGATCTGAAAGTGTCTCAATTCCAAAAATATCCGCTCACTACGATAAAATGATCGTTTTCTACCATGATTTCCAAGTTCGTTTTTTTTTTTCTGCGTGTGCCTTTGACGTAAAAACAGGACACGGCCGCTCAAGAGGCTTCAGTCTAAGGTTAATTTTCTCTCTACTGAGAGTGGTGATAAATTATGTGTATAAACTGCTTAATTTGGCAATAGATTAGATTAGGCCATCCTCACTCCTGCTGGAAACATAGTGAGTCAACCATGGATCACCACCGGACGCTATTTTTGGCTGTTCTTTTTGCCTCTAGCCAGGCGTTGTCTATGTTTAAAATATCTTTTTGATAGTTGAAGAGAGTCCCGGAAAAAGTAGTTTGCTCTCAACTAAAGTATTTACCGCGTATCGTAAAGAAAGTGTAAATAAAGTGTTTAACCATTTGTTTATTTTTCTGTTGTGTTATTTGTTTGTATCCATTCCTCTCGATCGGGAAGGAGGGGAGGAGAGCACATTAGATCGATTATCGTCGACGGGGAAAGTTGTTGATACAGTTATCTACTCAGTCAACCTTTCCCATTCAGTCATTTCTAATTACGAACCATTACATTTTAGTGAATACCTGTTAGCGAATTTATCTACTTTAGCATGAAAAACACATATGATTTGACGATCAGATCATTTTTTATAATTCTTAAAGCTGAAAATTATTTCTTGCTTAGTTTTCCTTCAGTGCATTTTTCGACGTAGTTAATATTTGTTGGTGTGAACAAAATAATTTTCACTTGTTCAAAACATGAAATTGATCCTGTTTCTCTTGAATTTTCTGTTTTCACGGCTCGCTCACTTCGAAGACGAGTTCATTTAACATGTTTAGTTGTAGGAGGCAGGATATGAGCTCGTAAAAAGGTTACAAGCGCGAGTTATACGGCAGCGGACTTTCAGTTTTCAGTTAACGTGAGATTAACACGGTGATTTGATCCTTCTTTTTATGATTTTTAAAGTTGAAAATTTTTTCTTGCCAAGTTTTCCTTGAGTGCATATTTCAACGTAATTGATATCTTTTGGTTATGAATAAAATAATTTTCACTTGTTCAAAACATGAAACGATCCTTTTTCCCTGGAATTTTCTATTTTTTTTTCCGCCATCGCTTCAAAGCTTGCTCACTTAGAAGACTAGTTCAATGAACTTATTTAATTTTCGGAGCCCCATCATTGTGACCTTCGCGAAGTCACGTGTAGCGGTCAGGAGCACAAAACCAAAAACAAGGCTTGTTAAAAAGGCACTGGCTAGTTACGGCTTTATATCGGCTTAATGAATTGATTAATTAAATCTTAATTTTGTCACTATATTGCTATTTTCATGTCCCTAACCATGCAAGCTATGGTATTAGTAAAACTAGAAAGTTTTGTGACCTTACTAAGAAATAAGGAATTATAGCGGGGAGGGTAGTTGTCAGAAGCCTTGCAGGGCTCAATTTCAGATTAGATCACAAAGCGCAGGTAAAAAGGGTGGTCAGTTTCTAAATTATCTGGTTACTGCAAAATGTTTTAGGCTCAACAAGACCAGTCCCATCTGGCTACTTGCCCCAGGGTGCTGGATGGCAATGAGAATGCTTGTTACCTGACTTGTGCTACCCTAAACCCTAACCGAACTGTAACCCCAACCGAACTGTAACCCTAACCCAACTGTAACCCTAACTCTAAAATGTAACCCTAACCCAACTGTGACCCTAACTCTAAACTGTAACACAAACCCAACTGTAACCCTAAACCAACTGTAACCCTAAACCAACTGTAACCCTAACCCAACTGTAACCCTAACCCAACTGTAACCCTAACCCAACTGTAGCCCTAACCCAGCTGTAACACTAACCCAAATGTATCCCTAACATCAAAATACTGGAAAAAGGTCAATTTAAGTCGAGAATTGCCATAGCTGTCTCCTGAGGGTGTCAAATACCTTAGTCAGGGGATTTTAAATTTTTTTCTTAAGCTAAGTAGGCAATGTTTTGGCAGTTGCGTGACAAAAAAAAATATTACAATCAAGAGATACTTTACATGTTCTATGCTCCGACTGTTGTCCAACTTTCTGGAAAAATAAGCAATTTAACTTTCTAGTTCAGCTTAAATATCCTCACAACAAAATGGCAAGGTTCACCTTCTTGTTATATTTAGTTGATGATTTAATGTACTACGCGAATTATTTTGGGGAATTCCCAGATTGGCTTTAGTTGACTTAGTTTTGCTTTGATTTTCTAAAGCTCAGGACGAGCAAAGGGGGTAAGTGGTTTTCTTTTAAACGCTTCTTGTTTCTAAATGTTTAAATTTTCTGCATATCAAGATTTTTTTTTTAACCTGTGATAAGTGGTAAAGGTCTCAGACTATTTATGCGTTAATCAAGCCGCAATTCATCAAAACTGCAATCCAGACAACCAAAGCGGAAGGAATGATATTTCTGATGGATACTGTTCAATTTTCTCTTACCATCGCCATAGGGATAAAAGCAATTTATGGGGAAAGTAGTTTTATTTCATTTTCTAGACGTGACTCAGTGGCGCTATTATCAGGGGTTAAATCAAGAACGGAAATGAAGCGGAGTAAAGTTTCGTGACATGAGCATTTACAAGTGCAAATTAAACACACTTCAGTTTCTCCAGGCCAACAGACAGTCTATATCGATGGAGCTTCGACGACTAACTCATTTGTGTTAAAAACCTCAAAGTACCGTGATATTCTTTCAGAACGAAACTTTCGGTGTATTTGAACGGTAGAAGCGTGTCTCGAAGTTAACATTGGACTGACGTCGAGCTTATATCGTCGTGGAAAGGGATAGACAAAATGTAAATTGTCAAATTGACAGCAAAACTGTGAATTTAGTCAGTACTATCGTTACATTTATTCCCATCTGGATTTCTTTGTTCTTTTTGTCGTGACACAGAACTTCCCGAACATATTGACCAAGCTGAGTTGGGTTTATTCTTACTGCACAGCAATTAGATTTGGGTAAGTGCCTTGACCTACTTCAGTGATTTATTCAAATTGACATGTTTCGCCATTGCGTATCTCAGATAATTAGTATTGGAGTTTCGTCTCTATCATGGACTATTAGATATGCAGCGTTTGGGATTAACATGAAAGATTTCAGGGGTTGTCTATAGTTTTCAGTTTCTAGAAGGGTTAAACTTGATATCCGTAAAACAGTGCTCGATTCATATAGTAGAGCGAATATAATGTGTGATAAGCAGAAAAAAATCAATCAACTACATTTCATCCCTACAGACCTGTTTCGTGGTTGCCTACTCATCAGGGGATTATCCCCTGATGAGTGGGCAACCACGAAACAGGTCTGTACACAGGCAGCCCAAGCTCACTTCTAGAAAAGCGGAAGTGACTCTTACTGTGTTGCGCAACGTTTTATATTTATAAAATTTCTATGGGATGTTATCGGTTTGCCTTAAAAGAGAGAAAAAAATGTCTTGTTTTGAAATAAAATGGGCTTGCTTTATTGCCTTGTTGTTTTCTTTGTTGATTCCTAGCGTCTCAGGCCATTTTGAAGCGTTTTCGGCGAGTTAGCGCTATGTTGGTGTTCAGTTGAACACGGTAAGAGTCACGTCTGCTTTTCTAGTAGTGAGCTTGGGCTGCCTGTGGTCTGTAGGGATGAAATGTAGTTGATTGATTTTTTTCTGCTTATCACACGTTTTCAGTTTCTAAATAAGTTAAGATAAATTTTTCCGTCCTCACCTAGATTCCTAGGGACCATGGATAACACAAATGAGATGACTTCAATGATATCAAATGAGATGGAACCAAACCGTCAACGAAAGTGCGCTTGCTGCAAGTCCACCCTCGGCTGGATGATTTTGATGATTATGTATTTACTGCTTTTACTGGCTGAAGTAGTGATTACTTTCACTTTCATTTATCATTTTGGAAAAACAATATCGCCCGTTTTCACCTCGAAGAGGTTAACAGCCACAAATGTATCATCATCAAGCACCAAAAATACCTCTCAAATATTTCCAATACATCTTGTACGCTACTTAGGCATGACAAAAACTTACTCCAGGTTGATAATGACCCTAAATTGTTTAGACGCAGTGAACTGTTGGATCTTTCTCGGAGCAGTTTTCAAATCTCCGCAGTTCACCGGCTTGTGCCCTCTGATAAAAAATCTTATTCGTTTGCCGAGATTTTGGACCTTAATATTTGTATTTTCGCTTTTTGTCACAGGGGATGTTATTGAGAGCGCAAGTTCCTCACTCGTCATTTCTGTTTACAAATTTAGAGCTATGATAGCAGTTTGCTTTACGTTTTCCCTGGATGCATTCTTTGTGACAATGATTCTTGTAGCTCTGAACGAAACGAAAGTCCGCCATATGGCACCGGGGAAAGTGCACTTAATATTCAAGGTGGCCCTGATTGTCTTCTGCTTACGATTGCTTGTATATTTGATTAATACAATACTATACCTAACTGTAATCTTATATTTGATTGCTGGAGTGAAGGATAGCTATTGGCGGAAGGGAGGCACGTTTGTAAACTGTGTGAGTAGTTTTCTTTTCTTGCCGTTTTACAAAAAAGGAACTGAACTTGTGTGGACAAAATTATTTCATGACGACAAGTACATTATAGGGAAAATCAGAGGCCCTGAGAGACAAGACAGTGGTTTAGATAGCGGAACCCAGGCTGTTTGATAATTATCAATGACTGGTGGTCCAAAGAAGAAGTGGGTTTTGTAGCTTTACCTTTTGGCAATAATACTGCCTTAACATTTGATTACTGAGCAAACCAATGTGAAAGACTTGCCTACTACATATCTGTAAGCTAACTTATTTTGGGGTTTGTATCTTAAAATAACAACGACTTGTCTAGTGGATAAACAGTGCATCACTAACTTTCCAGAAACAAATTGCGATAAAGTCCAAACTATTTGGCGGCAATGACAGCTGCAGAGGATAACAATTAAAACTGCAATATATCATAAACCGAGAGTAACCGATGACGGCCTCTTTCCAGATGTAGCCCTTAAAACATCTGATTCTGGTGCTCAAAGACAACAAACCTGTAGCCATGTAGCTCAAGCAGCAATAACGAAATCCCTATTTACGGTGCACTGCAGCTCAAATAAAGTTCGAGGGAGGGTACCGAAGATCGAATTGATAATCAAAAACCTTTCCACAGTTAATACGAACGCTCGCAATACTGGAAACAGTAACTTTAGCAGTAGTGGTGGTAGTGGAAGCAGTGGATCGAAGTAAAAGTGCGTCCTCTTATTTCACTTGCATGTATATGGAATATTTGGATCTGGTTTTATAATGGAATATTTGGGTCTGGTTTTCTTTGATAAATGCCTAAATAATCTGGTTGATTTTACCTTTGAATTTGATCACTATATTTGTCGTTTGTTCAGGGACGCACGCGTCGTGCAGATACTTCTCATTGCCTAATTGACCAATTTTGCCCATACTTCCTCTTTCCGAGATTATCATTTTAATAGAATTACGGTAATATGGAATGATATTCCCGAAGATATCAAAGTAGCTAATACACTTCGTTCTTTCAAACGCCAACTCAAATCTTTTTACTTTAATCGATTATATAATGTTTTCGATGGCGACAACATATGTTCCTTTGATTTGTCCTAAGTGTCGCCGTGTAAATATTCTAAAAGCTTGCTCTTGTTAGTATTAATGTAGTGCGATATTCGTTACCTTTTTCTCTTCTTTCTTTCTATTTATTAGAACGATATTTATAGTACATTATTAATATTTAATTGTAGTTTTGGGTAAGGGATTGGTTTTCTACATTTTAAGGGGTTGGTTTAGGTGGGTGAATCCAGTAGGGGACTACGTGTCCTATTGTTCTCTAGCCTCTATACTGTACGAATCTTTAAATAAATAAATAAACAAATAAATGTCAATCGGTCTTAGTATAGTGTGATATAATTACTTTTTAAAATAATAGAAAACTAAGCGGAAGGAGTAATATTTCTTGCTATGGGTACCCAATCTCCCAATCATCTTAAAATCTGAGATCTGAAAGTGTCTCAATTCCAAAAATATCCCCTCAGTTCACTAATTCCAAGTTTATTCCTTTTGTCGTGTGCCTTTGACGTAAAAACAGCAGACGGCCGCTCAAAAGGCTTGAGTCTAGGGTAAATTTTCTCTCTACCGAGAATGGTGATGGATTATGTGGATAAACTGCTGAATTTGGCAATAGATTGGATTAGGCCATCCCCACTCCTGCTGGGAGCATAGGGCGTCGACCATGGATCACCACCGGACCATGTTTTTGGCTGTCCTTTTTGCCTCTAGCCAAGTGTTGTTTATGCTTGAAATACATTTTTTTTAACAGATGACGAGCGTTCCGAAAAAAGTAGTTTCCTCGTAACTAAAGTATTTAGCGAGTATTGTAAAGAGGTGTAAATAGAGTGCTTAACCATTTTTTTTTCTTGTTTGTGTTATTTGTTTGTATTCATTCCTCTCGATGGGGGGAGGGGGGGAGGAGAAGGGGAGGGGAGCTCTTAGATTGACTATCGTCAACGGGGAAAGCTTTGGTGACAGGCTTCTACCCAATCGACCTTCCCGTACCGTCATCTCTACTTACGAGCAACTGCATTTTAGTGAATACATGTTGACAACAGATTATGTAGGTTCATATTCTCTCATATTCAGCCGAGGGGGGATGGGGGAAGCACATTGGATTGATTATTGCCGACGGGGACAGTTGTCGGTACAATTATCTACTCAGTCAACCTTTCCAGTTCACTAATTTCTAATTACGAACAATTACATTTTTAATGAATACCTCTTAGTGAATTTATATACCTTAACATGAGAAACACGTATGATTTGGCGATTTGATCCTATTTTTTAGGATTTTTAAATTTGAAAATTATTTCTTGCCTAGTTTTCCTTGAGTGCATATTTCAACCTAATTGATAATTGTTGGTTATGAATAAAATAATGTTCACTTGTTCAAAACATGAAATCGATCCTTTTTCCCTGGAATTTTCTATTAGTTCTGTTTATTTCTTTAGTTTTAAGCTCTCAGACAAACTGATTTTTCTCCGGGCATCGCTTCACAGCTCGCTCACTAAGAAGACTAACTCACTGAACTTATTTCATTGTCGGAGCCAAGTTATTGTGACCATCGAGAAGTCACGTGTGGCGACCAAGAGCACAAAACCGAAAAATAAAAGGCTTGTTGAGCGAAAGGCATACTGAGGCTTGATACAGCTTTATATCGGCTTAAGCTAAAAAGGCAATGTTTTGGCAGTTGCGTGACAAAGAAAAAATAATGTAATCAAGAGAGACTTTACTTTTCCTGTCTGGTCTATGCTCTGACTGTTGTCCAACTTTCTGAAATAATAAGCAATTTAACTCTCTAGTTCAGCTTAAATTTCCTCAAAACAAAATGGCAAGGTGCACCTTCACGTTATATTTAGTCAATGATCTAACGTACTGCGTGAATTACTTTGGAGGAGGTCCCGGATTGGCTTCAGTTTTGCTTTGATTTTCTAAGCTCAGGAGGAGCAAAGGCGACGTGGTTAGTGTTTCTTTTTTAAACGCTTCTTGGTTCTAAATGTTTAAATTTTCTGCATATCAAAATTTTTATTTAAACCCGTAATAAGTAGTAAAGTTCTTAGATTACTTATGCGTTAATGAAGCTGCAGTTCATCAGAACTGCAGTCAAGACAACCAAAGCGGAAGTAATGATATCTCCGATTGACACTGTTAAATTTTTCTGTTACCAAAGCCATATGAATAAGAGTATTGTACGGGAAAATCAATACAGAAACGTAGTTGTGTTTCATTTTCTAGACGAGACTCAGCGGCGCTATGATCAAGGGTTAAATCAAGAACGGAAATGAAGCGAGTGAAGTTTTGTGACATGAGCATGTACGAAGGTAAAGTAAACACTTCAGTTTCTCCAGGCCAACAGACAGTACGTATCGATGGAGCTTCGACGAGGAATTCAGTCGTGTTGAAAACCTCAAAGTACCGTGATATTCTCTCAGAACGCAACTTTCGCGTGTCTCAAAGTTGAGATCGGAGTGACGTGGAGCTAATATCGTCGTGGAAAGGGATAGACAAAATGTAAAATTGTCAAATTAATAACGAAATCGTGAATTCAGTCAGCACTATCGTTACATTTATTCTTCTCTTGATTTCTTTTTTCTTTTTGTCGTGACGTAGCACTTCCCGAACATATTGACCAAGCTGAAATGGGTTTATTCTTACTGCACAGCAATTAGATTTGGGTAAGTGCCAAGTCATATTTCTGTGATTTATTCAAATTGACATATTTTGGCCATAGTGTATCTCAGTTAACTAGTATTGGAGTTTTGTCTCTATCATGGTCTATTAGAAAAGTAGCGTTTGGGATTAACAGGCAAGATTTCAGAGATTGTTTATAGTTTTCAGTTTCTAAAGATATTATGATAAAGATATTGACCAAGCTGAATTGGATTTATTCTTACTGCACAGAAATTATAAATTTAGTGCCACCTTTTCATTTTTTCACCTCTTGATTTTTTCGTTCTTTTTTTCGTGACATAGCGCTTCCCGAACATATTGACCGAGCTGATTTGAGTTTATTTTTACTGCGCAGCAATTAGATTTGGGTAAGTTCTAAAGTGATATTCTTGTGATTTATTCAAATTCACATATTTTGGTCATTGCGTATCCCCCTTAATTAGTATCAGAGTTTCGTCTCTATCATGGTCTATTAGTTATGCAGCGTTTGGGATTAACATACAAGATTTCAGAGATTGTCTATAGCTTTCAGTTTCTAAAGATATTATGATAAATTTTTTCCGTCCTCACCTAGATTCTCAGGCACCATGGATAACACAAATGAAATGACTTCAATGATATCAAATGAGTTGGAACGAAACCGCCAACGAAAGTGCTGGATGATTTTCATGATTATGTATTTACTGCTTTTACTGGCTGATGCAGTGGTCATTTTCGCTTTCATTTATTATTTTGGAAAAACAGTATCGCCCGTTTTCACCTCTGAGAGGTACGTTAACAGCCACAAATGTATCATCAAGCACCAAACATACCTGTCACATATTTCCAATACACCTTGTGCGTTACTTAGGTATGGCAGAAATTTACTCCAGATGGATAATGGTCCTAAATTGTTTTGACACTGAGCTGTTGGATCTTCCTTGGAGCAGGTTTTAAATCTCCGCATTTCAACGGCTTGAGCCCTCTGATAAAAAAGTCTTATTTGTTTGCCAAGATTTTGGACCTTAATATTTGTATTTTCACTTTTTTTCACAGGAGATGTTATGGATAGCCGCAAGTTCCCCACTCGTCACATCTGTTTACAAATTTAGAGCTATGATAGCAGTTTGCTTTATGTTCACTGTTAGACTTATCCCTCGATGCGTTCTTTGTGACAATGATCCTTGGAGGTCCGAACGTAACAAAAGTCCGCCATATGGCACCGGAGAAAGTGCACTTAATATTTAAGGGGGGGGGGATTGGGGAGGGGGAAGCACATTACATTGATTATCGCAGACGGGGACAGTTGTTGGGACAATTGTTGGTACAGTTATCTACTCAACCTTTTCCGTTTAGTCATCTCTAATTACGAACAATAACTTTTTAACGAATACCTGTTAGTGAATTATCTACTTTAGCATAAAAAACACGTATGATTTGACGATCTGATCCTTCTTTATAATTCTTAAAGTTGAAAATTATTTCTTGCTTAGTTTTCCTTGAGTGCATATTTCAACGTAGTTGATATTTGTTGGTTGTGAATAAATTAATTTTCACTTGTTCAAAACATGAAATTGATCTTTTTTCTCTCGAGGTTTCTGTTAGTTCTGTTTATTTTCTTTAGTTTTAAGCTCTCAGGCAAACCAATTTTTAATCCGCCATCGCTTCACGGCTCGCTCAATTCTAAGACGAGTTCACTGAACATATTTAGTTATCGGAGCTAGGTTATGAGTTCGCAGAAAGGTTACAACATAGCCCTCTCTACTAACTATGGTTACAAGCGCGAGTTATACGTCTACGGACTTTCAGTTAGGCACCAGTCTCCTACAAGAGACGGACCCGCAGAGACAAGAGGTCAATTCGTCAAATCGTCACCGCTGTTGATCGTTAATCGCTGTTTCTTCTGAGTCAGCTACTTTCTTTTGTGCTTGCTAAAGTGGTTGTGTTTGTTATAAACATTACGTACTTTTGGACCCACTGCTCTCATTTTCCTACAAGAGAGCCGAGAGAAATAACTCAGTGACTAATACGATCCAAATGCAACCAGAGATTGCCCTATGAGCATCTGCTGTTTTTACAAAATTAACCCTTAAAACTTGCACCCGCCTTTGATTTTATGTTAACATTAAATTGCAGCTTTTGTTTTATTTTTTAGTCATCATTTCCTAACAAGTAAAAAAAAAAAAGAAGAAAAATAAGATTTGATCATGACACAACACCAAAAGTGAAGCATGCTCAGCGAAAGGCACAGGCTAGTTACACCTTTATATCGGATTAAGCTAAAGAGCCAGTGGTTTAGCATTTCTCTTTCTTATCTCTTGCAGTTGCGTGACAAAGATAAAGTAATACAATCAAAAGAGACTTTACCTTTTCTGCCTGTTCTTTTCTCCGACTGTTGTCCAACGTTCTGGGTTAAAAGGAAATTTAACTTTAAAGTTTAGCCTAAATTTCCTCAAAACAAATTAACCGGTTAGGCGGACCTTCACTTTATATTCAGTTGATGATGAAATGTATTGTATTTAATCGAATTTTTTTTCAAAGAAGTCCCGGATTAGATTTAGTTTCGCTTTGATTTTCTAAAGCTCAGGAAGAGCAAAGGCGAACTGGTGAGTGGTTCTCTTTTAAACGCTTCTTGGTTCTAAATCTTTTAATTCTCTGCTATCATGATCAAGAGTTTTTGTTTGAAAATGTTTTTAATGGTAAAGTGCAGCGGTAGAAAGTATTCATGGGCCAATTAGGGATTTCGAAAATTAGAAACAGCACAAAATGTCAAATTAGTACCTCAAAGTTATTTTCGTTTGTTTAACATCCGAGCGCATGAAAACGATGGAGGCCGATCAGGAGCCCGAGAGAGAAGCAAAATTTTTAGAAGAACAGCTAAGAAGCAGTAAAAACGAGATTCAGCTAGGAATAATTAGCTAAACAAA